TCAGCCTACTGATTCAAACGCTAATCTCATCTAGAAACATCCTCACAGACACACCCAGAAATGAAGCTTAGCCAAACATCCGTGCACCCCATCTCCTGGTTAAACTGACACACAAAATTCACCCCCACAAGGGTGGCAGGCCCTGAGCACTGGAGCTGTGGGCTTGCAGGTCCCATCCCAGAGCCCCACTGGTGGGTTTCAGGGCCCATGTACATGACCTGCTGAGGCCTCCAAGAGAGGAACTAGGGTGGAGGAGAGCTCCCCTGAAGACCAGTGAGGCTGAGCTGTAACTGGGTAAATTGTCAGCTGGGTGGGGACCCTGGACCCCCCCGAGCCTTAATTTCTTCAACTTCGAACGGCAATAAAATACTCTCCTCGAGGGGGTGAGTGGGTCTCAGGTGAAACTGATAGAAAACCACTTTTTCAGCTGCAAAGTATAGCACAAATAAGACTTCACCATATCAAGAATCCCAACCTGGTTCCCATCTTCCGGCATGCTTCCTTCCCGGGGCTTTTATTTCCCCATCTTGCATAGGGCTGCCAGATAAAAATATAGACTGGATACTTTTTAATATAGGCCCATCCCAAGCTGTCCCATTGCCTGGGACACACTTATACTAAAAGAAAAAAGAAATGTGTGGGGGCCTGGCTGGCTCAGTCAGTAGAGCATACAACACTTGATCTTGGGGGTTGTAAGTTCAAGCCCCACATCGGGTGTAGAGAGGACTTAAAAATAAAATCTTGAAAAAAAATGTGTTGTTTCTCTGAAATTCAAATTTAACCGGGTGCGCTGTATTTTTATTTGCGAAATCTGACATCTCTATCTCTGCAGGAAGCCCAAGGTGAGTGCAGGCCTCATTTTAAGTACTTCCCCATGCCCTTAGATGACCAGAAGAGAAGTTTATTTACATCTCATTATCCCTGCCTCAGGTGGGGAGAAACCACAGGGCTCCAGGGAGTAAGACAGGAGGGCCTGGCCTCACCCCAAACTAGGCTCGGTTCCACCTGACCAGCCTGCTGCAAGAGGGATGGGATTGGGGGCTGCTTTTCTCAGAGCTAAGGACAGCCTCCGTCCTCTAAGTAACTATTACACACCATTCTTCCTGACATGCATGTTATTTAGGGTGAAGTTACTCTTGCCTGAAATTTACTTTAAAATGCCTTAAAAAAATATACTGCATTTATGGATGGATAGAGGAAGGGATACATAGATGGATACATGGTAAAGCAAAATAAAAAGTTAGTGGTAGGGGGGCGCCTGGGTGGCTCAGTTGGTTAACATGACCGACTGAAACCTTTGGCTCAGGTCATGATCTCAGCGTCCTGGGATCGAGGCCCGCGTCAGGCTCCCTGCTCGGTGGGAAGCCTGCTTCTCCCTCGCCCGCTCCCCCTGCTTGTGTTCCCTCTCTCGCTGTGTCTCTGTCAAATAAATAAATAAAATCTTTAAAAGAAAAATGCTGCAAAAAATTAAATTAAAACAAATTTTAAAAATCCCGCTCGTTACAGAAAATCTCTAATCTCACAACTCAGCGATATTTTGTTGTATTTCCCTCCTGCCTTTTCCTGTGCCTTTGTTGTTTTACAGAATCGAGATCATTCCAGCTACATTCCTTCCTTCCTGCTTTTATCACACACCAACCACGGTCAGAAGTTTGTATTTATCGTGGGCCAGGCACTTACCCAGACTTACCTCATTTAATCCTCAATGTCGTAGTGAAGCATCTCCCGTGTCAACGAACCCGGTCCACGAGCGTCATTTGCAATGATGACGGGGTATTCCGTCGCACAGAATTCTCTCACTGTTCTTGGAAGTTTAGGCTATGTCCCATTTTTTTAGCATTATAGGTACAGTTTCTGGAACACCCTCGGGCAGAAGTCTTGTTGCTCATCCATTGTCCCCCTTCCCTCGGGATGGCTTCCTAGCCTGAGCATTTCTCTGGCTCCATCTCCCCTTAAAGGCATTTTGATGTCCTTTCTGGGCTACGTCTTGGGGCCCCTTTGGGGCTGGAAGACTTGCTCCCAGGCTGGGCCCTGGAACCCAGGGCGGGTAGGGCTTCACCCAGGTGCCCACAGCGAGTCAGCGCCCTGTGAGTACGGCTCCAAGTATCTCTATCTACTCTCTATCTTACTGGAGAGGGGCTTGTTGGGGGAATGGGGGTCAGGTGTCTGGAGGCCCGTGGGAGTCTGAGCTTAGAGGACATCTTCTGGAATCGGGGCTGGCGGGACATCTAGAAAGAGGGCATTCATCAGCAAAGAGCCCTAGAAGCGGGAAGAGGTCTTTTCAATTTGTTTTTATAGTTGAATGTGTCATTTAAATTCCATTTCTGGGGGGCGCCTGTCTGGCTCAGTTGCTAGAACATGTGACGCTTAATCTCAGGGTCATGAGTTCGAGCCCCATGTTGGGCCTGGAGCCTACTTAAAAAAAAAAACAACAAATTCCATTTCTGTCTAGAGTATCACCACTTTCCAACATTTAGAAGATATTTCCCTCCTGTTTCTCTAGCTCTGTGTTACACCTGGAGTTTAAACTCGGGCCGCTGCTCGAGGCTGGGCACAGGCAGGGAGATTTGAGGATGGGGAGCCTTGGGGACCACTCTTCCTTCCGCTCTGCCTTTTTGGGGAGGTGTGAGGTCCTGGAGAGCAAGGCGCCTGGGCTGGGTGACCCTGGGCACATCAGTTCTCTCCTGCTAGCCTCAGTTTCCCCATTTGTAAAGCAAAGGCAGTGCCTTCTCTTCCTGTGGGCGGTCTGACAGGGTGTGCGGCCCAGGGCCAGACACACAGTAGGCCCTCGGGTCACGAGTGGGATTGGCCGCCTTCTCTCACCGCCCCCTTGGGGAGGTCGCCTTGACTCGCAGACTTGGCTCTGTTCCATCTCACTCAGCTCTCCTCCCTGGAGCCCTGGAGTGGAATGTTTTCTCTTCCCTCCTCCTCCTCCTTTTCCTGTGCACTGTCTGTGGGACTCCTCCAGTGTCCCGGGCTCCCCAGGGGAGGCCTGAGCCCTCTCTCAGCCCGGCTCCTGCCCCGTAGCCCACCAGGCTGTTTCCAATTTGGACGCCATGCATCTTGCCCCTTCAGATCACAGCCGCCTCTTTGATGGAACTAATGATGATCTAGGACTCCAGGGCCCCGGACCTCCCCAAACTGAGATAAATCCTGCTTCTTTGCAGACAAGGGGCCTCCAGCCCCGCAGCTGACGCCCCTCCTCCAGGCTGGACTGGGAGGGGAGGTGTCTCTGGGAGCCCCCTCCTGGAGGGCTGTGTGGGCCTCCGTGGGACCCAGGGAGACAGGAAGAGAGGGATTTCTCCAAGGCTCAAAGAGGGGTCCCCCCACTGGGTGGGGGGGAGGGAGTTGGCAGGTCTGCAAAAGAGCCAAGTGCAACACGTCCACGCTGCCCCTCAGCTACCCTGGGATTCATTGGGATTGACTGGTCACTCTTGAGCACGTTGTGCCTCTGAGCCAGTCCACCGGGTGGGGGAAGCGGTGGGCACCATGTTTCCAGAGGTTGGAGGGCTTGCGGAAGAGCCAGCAGTGAGGGGAGCGGAGGGGCAGAACCTTCTGATTTCTGGCCTCAAAGCCAGCACCCCCTTTCTTCTCAGCATCCCAATGCTGCCCCTCCACGTTCTTTCACTTCCTCCTCCTTCACCCCCTGCCGCTGGCTGCCTGGATTCCACCTCAGATGTATCCATGTAAAAACTCAAAATTCATTCAGGTTTAACTAAAGAATGTTGGGTGTCACTTCCCCCCAGCAAAAGGCTCCATCAAACCACTGTACTTGAACATCAGAAACACGAGTGGCTCTCAAATGGGGAAGCAAGAGCTCACCTGGCTCCTCCCTCAGGGGTTGAACTCCCAAAGGGACACCTGGCCTTGCTCCTCAGCCTTCTGCGTGGGTGGCTTCAGAGACCCCAACAGCCTGGGCCCCTGCCTATCTACCCTGACCCGTGTGACCGGAAGTTCTGAGCCCTGTAGCTTCTTAGAAGAGGCCTCCACCCAGACTGGTGGTGACCCTTTGCAGGGGCCTGGGGAAGGGATGAAGGTTAAGGGAGGAGAGTGTGGAAGCTCTACCCAGGGTGCTTTGTGGGGGGCCAAGCCTGCCTTGTCCAGCTCTGCCACTCTGAGCAGCTTCTGCCTGGAATCCCGCCCTGGAAGCCCTCTCATCTTTCCAGGTAAGGGACGTGTGGTCCCATTCTCCTCTGGACTGGGAACCCTGGGGGGCAGGGGCTGTTACTGCTTGTCCTTGAGGCCAGCCCTTTGCTCAGGGCCTGGGCCTACAGCAGGTGCCCAATAAATGTTTGTAGTGTGGAGCTCGGTGCCCAGCATGCTGTTCAGTCATCCGTCAGACAGCCATGGCCCCCGGAGAGTGGGCTCTGGGGGAGGTGGCCTGGTGATGCGGTGGGGGTCGTGCAGAAGCGTCATGGGGGCGCTCGGAGGTCTTCCTGCCACGCGGGCTAGCCCACACACGGACCCTCGATCCTCGACCTTGGCTTTGCAGAAGGTCCCTGGGCTGTGGCTTCTCACCCCGGGACGGCCGCCAGTGCACCCGGAGGAGGAGGCGTCTGCAGTCTGTGCCCATCACCTGAGCAGCACCGGGCGGGGAGGGTAACAATTATTGGGAGAGGTTTGGAAAAAAAAAAAAAAAATCATTATCAAATAACTACAGCTTGAAAAAGTTGGCGGGCGGGACGGAAAACGCGGCCTGGATCGCGCCGGGGCGGCCGCCGCCGCTCGCACGCGCCCCGCGGTAGCCAAAAATGGAAGGAAGCACATCTGCAACGCATTTGTGTGATGTTCACTTTTGAGACCGCGCGGCTGGATGGAGGCGGTGAGTTCACGCGAAAGGAAAAACTCTTTAAGAGCGCTCTCCTTCGGGGACCTGTCGGGCGCGGGCGGCCGCGGGGCTCGGGCGGCGGGAAAGGGCGCCCCCTGCCTGGCGCGGGCGGAGCGGGGACGCGCGCGGGGTGGGGGCGGGGGCACCTTCTCCGAGCCTCAGTTTCCCCGTCTGGACAACGAGGGGGCTGGTTTTTCAGGCTTTTCCACTGGGGGATGCTCCAAGAGTCTCTTCTTGTCATTGGTGGTTCTCTACGCGTCCCTGATGGAGAGAGAGGGACCGGCCCTTGGGTGGGGAACGGGAGGAGCCCTTCTCATGTCCTGCGGGTTGCTGGGCTGCTGTCATTGCATTCCCAGCCCTGTCTCTACATTCCAGAGCCAATGACGTCTTCTGGGTGAGCGTTTGTCTCCTGAGCTGGGCCAGATCCACCTTCCCGGGCAGTCACTGCTCAGTTGGTGCAGGGGAATGCAAGGGGCCTTCGGTTCTCAGGGTTAGGGGTGAGCTGCCCCCTCCAACCTTCTCCTTCCCAGCCATTCTCACCTCTGGGGTCTTCAACACACCCCCCCTCCCTCGGGCCCCAAACAGCCCTGTCTCCCCTAAAGCCCCTTTGTCCTGATACCTGCCACCTGTCCACCTTCCCCCTGGGGATTTCCTTCTCCAATGGTCCAGCCCTCAGCATCCCCCCTCCCCTGGCGCTTTCGGGGTGCCCCAAGCTTCCCCAGCCTCACATCCCGGGAGGGTCCTGCCTGACTCCAGGGTAAAAGCACATTGCAGGCTGACTCAGGCTTCCAGGGAGCTTCTGAGCTTCTCAAAGTTAAAGGGGAGGCAGGCTGGGGGGAAAGATGCAGGAGTGAAATGCAGGGACTCTCTTCCCTGGGGATCCCCTACACACACACACACACACACACACACAGTACCCCACTTTGCCCAGGAGAGGCACAGCCGGGAGCAATCTCAAGGCCCAGGATTTCTGCCCATAATATTATGTCCCTTGCAGCCGGGGCCCACGAGGAGACAGAAAGCACTGGGAAAATATTGTTAGGTGGAGCCAAAAGCAGATAGCACCTTTGCACAGATCACGGTCAAGTGTGCACTTAAACACGTTAAAGATGGTAAGTGTTGTGTTATGTGTATTTTACCACAATTAGAAAACAATTTAAAAAAGAAGCAGAGCAAGGACTTGAACTCAGGTCATTTGGCCCCAGAGTCTGGGCTCTTATCTCTGTCCTAGACTGCATACCTAGAAGAAGGGCGATAAATATTTGTTGAAGGAATGAATGGGGAATGAATGAGTAATTTCAGAGGCTTGCACATATGTCAGTTTCCCCTCCACTCCCTGGTGCCTCGGTGTCCCCGTGTTACCCACAGCCCGGGACACCTTCGGGGCAGCGCTGCCCAGCCTGGTTGTGGGGAGGGGAGGCAGCCAGGCAGCCAGGCACCGGGGACGGCCACGGGGACGGCCACTTGGGGCTCTCACATTTTCTCCTTCCTCCTCAGTGTTGCTTTTTCCTGTACACCTCACCTCTAACGTGACCATGACCAGAGGCAGTGTCTGAGAGATTGCTCGACCCTCTTCAGCGCCCACTTCCTTCCTAGATCTCAGTCCGGCGGGTGAGTAGGGTTGGTGGGATTCCATTTAGACCATTCCCCTGGGTTTTGTGGCATCTCAGCTAAAGTCTGGGATCCAAGAGTCTGCTTCTCTGAGCCTCACCTGGCTGTAGGAGTCGGTTTCTGGATAACAGGTAAGAGAGTCTCTTTTGCCATCACTGGTCAGAGTTTGGTCAACCCAGCCCCAGGCCGTGCCTCAGTGCTGGGTGCTGTAGGAGCATTTCTCCTGGTTGAACCCAAGGCATCTCTCCCTCTCTTCATTCACTGCATCTGCTCCTTACCTGGCCCAGACATGGCACAGGTTGAGAGGATTGGACAGAGAAGTTCAGGGTTAGCCAGACCTGGGTCAGCTTTGAACTTGGACCCCGGACAGACCCAGAGGGATGATCAGGGGGCTTGGAAGCTGGCTGGCTTACAGGTGATTGGTGATCACAAGTCCCGACCCTCGCCCTCCCAGGGTGAGAGAAATGTTTAGTCAGGAGGTAGTCCCTCAAGTGGATGGATGGACATCTAGGGGCAGGAGCAGATAGGAGGAGGGACCAGCAGCCTGGCAGCCATGAGTGAAGCAGAGGTTAGGGCTCTGGGGTCTGGGCAGGGTGGGGATGAGCAGATGTGGAGAGGGTCCCAGACGGCCAAGTGTTCTGAGCAGATTGACAAGGGCAAGGTGGGGCCCAGGGTGATGTGGGGCCCAGGGCCCGGGGCTAGGCTATAACTTCGAGACCCCCCGGGAGGATGTAAGACACTTTTTAGGACTGGATACCCGGTCAGACAGAGCTCACACCATGGGGCATCAAGAGCTCTTTGCTAGAAGACTGCTGGGAAGTGGAAGGAGGGGGAAGGGCGGATTTCTGTCGCGGATTCTCTTACTTTGCATTCATCATGAATAACCCAGAGCTCCCGGTTCAGGGGCCAAAGCAAGCCGCTCAGCCCAGTAGACCCAACCATGTCTCAGTTATCCACCTAGTGGATTATTTGCAAACCCCTGCCTTTTCCCCGCAGTTGGAAGGAGCTCAGGGCAAGCTGAATCACTTCCACCTGCCTCAGCTGGCCCTGTCTGGAAGATGCAACCTGACTCTGGCAGGACAGCTGGACATGCCTTTGACATTGACTGTGAGGGGCCCACTTGTCCCATCCAGTGTGGACCCAGGGCCCACCTGGGCTTGCTTTTCCCCTCCTCGCTTTTCCCAAGAGGCTGGTTCTGGCACCAACTGTCACCAAATGGTAAACAGCTCAGCACAACCCTCCCCCCCACCAAGAAGCTTAAGATAAGAGACACCCCTACAGGGAAGGAAGAAAAAAACCTAACAGGAAGCCAAGTGGGTAAACCGTTACTGCATCAATGTGAGTGTTGTGTCTCTGTCCCAGGCGAGAGACACTGTGCCTTTGGCTCCCAGGCTGGGGCGGTGGGGAGTCACAGGGGAGAGATCTCTGTGCACCTGGGTAGGGGGCGGGGGGGGGGACCAGGGAGTGGAGTCACCAAGTCAAGCCCTTCCTCTCCTGAGCCTCTGGGTCCTGCCAGAGTCCCTCTGCAGGGTCACTTCTGAGAGGCCTCCTGAGGGGGAGGCAGTCGGGAGGCAAAGTGACCAGGAGCAGGGACCCTGAGGCCGGACAGGCCCACCCTGATGTTGCTGAGCATCCTTGGGAAGTCACTTGGCCCTCTTGAGTGCCCTTCTTGAGACCCTTCTGAAGGTACCCCCTGAACCACGTCCTGGGGATATTGAGGGAAGTGACTGACATGATTAATGCAGGTGAGGTGCCAGAGCCCACCAGTGTCGGCCACACCGTGAGTGCCCTGTAAAGGGTCCCCACTCTTCTTTCCAGCCGTGGCTGACTACTGCTGTCTGCCGGAGACGGGCTGGTTGGTGCCTGTTGCAGGTCTGGAACCTGGGGGGAGAAAACGCCCTCAACCATCCAGAGCTGGGGAAGCCCCCTACCCCCACCCTGAGCACCATCTTATCGCAGAGACAGAGAAAGAGGGAGACAGCGAGGTAGACAGAGACAGAGAGGTCTTAATCCTAGCTTGAGAAATATGAATCAAGCACCTTTTTTTTAAAAGATTTTATTTGTTTATTTGAGAAAGAGAGAGCATGAGCGGGGTGTGGGGGGCAGAGGGAGAGGGAGAAGCAGGCTTCCCGCTGAGCAGGGAGCCCGATGCGGGGCTCGATCCCAGGACCCCGGGATCATGACCTGAGCTGAAGGCAGACGCTTAACCGACTGAGCCTCCCAGGTGTACCTGAATCAAGCACTTTTAATTCAATGCACCCACCATTGATCAAGCACCCTATGTGCATGGGCTGGGAGCTTGAAAGATGGCAGAGTTGCGGGGACACCGTGTGTCCTCAGCGGCTCACTGTCTGGTGGGGGATCTGGAAACTACAGGCTGTGCTGGGGTCAGGGAGAACAGAGGAGAGCCGAGCATGGGTCGGCGGGGGAAGGTGACAGAAAGGAGGGTCCCTGGGCCCGGGACCCGGTCACCGGGTTGCATACATGACCCTGACAGCAAGTTGGCCTCCCCTGGAGGTGAAGGAATGAAGTGCAGGCCAGTGACTCTGCTCGGCCTGGGAAGGGGCGTCCAGGCCTCTCTCTCCCCACCCTCTGCCCTCCTCCCATGCTCCCTGGAGTCGCCCCACACTGCCTCCATCCCCTCTTCCCGCCCATGCCTCTTCTGTCCCCCAAACTGCGGGAATGTGCACCCCTGTGGCAGAAGAAGTGGGGGGTGGGCCGTGGGGGGGGCGGGGCCAGCTGGGTCTCCCAATGCGGGGTCCCACCTCCTAGGAACCCTGAAGAGCTGCTTCCAAGCCCCTCGGCTGCCGCGACAGCACCCACTCACCCATCTCTCCCCCATTCTGTCCCTTCGCCCTCCGGTACTCACCTCTGAGCGCCCGCCCGGGAACCCCGCTGCCCCTAACACTCCTGCCTGGACGTCCCCAGGACAGGCCCAACTCCCCATGTCCCCAGCTCAACTCTGCCTGTCTCTCCTCTCCAGAAACGCCGCCACCGTCCACCCCGCTGCTCAGGCCGGAGACACCTCCCTCCCTCCCTCTCGCCTTCGGCTCCCCATTGGACATCACATGGTGTGGGTTCCAGCTCCAAGGTGCACCCCCTATCAGCAAGGCCACCACCCCGGTCTCCGCTGCCACGGCCCACGTCTCTCCCTGCTGAGAACTTCCTAACGGCTTTCAATGAGATTTAAGATAAAATCTGAGTTCTGTGCCACAGCCCACAAGGCCTCCTCCACGATCAGTCTTATGTCTCCCTAGACCGGAGGCTCCATGATGGCAGGACGGGGCCACTTCTACTCACTTGGCAGTTCATACTGCCTGGCACATGATGGGCACCCAGTAAATATTTGTGGATCTAACTCATTGACTGACACGCTCACTTGTGTTCTCCCTCTACGGCTGTTCATCCAGGCCCTCCCCCGTGCCGTGTCCTGCACTGGTTTGGGGAAACAGGGTAATGGGGAGAATCAGAGGCCCTTCCTTGGCCTGCTGGTGTGCCCAGGCTGGGGAATGGGTGACACAGAGTACCAAGCCCAGGACACAGGGCTCCGTCCTCCAGAATCGCCCTTCCTTACAGGCTGCGGCCGTCTGGTCCTCTGTGAGTCAGGCCAGTATGGGCTTAGGGTCAGGGATCGGGGAGCGCTCATGGGGCTCCCGGAGGGTGTCGGAGAGAATCCCAGCCCTCTGCCATTGCCCCGAGCTGGACGCATTGCAGAAGCTTCTCCATGCCCTTTTCATAGGACCCTCGCATGACCACCTCACTCGCTGGCTGCCATCACCACGGCCGTGACGTAGATGAAGGAGCCAAGGTTCAGACAGGGCAGGTGACTTGTCTAAGGTCACACAGGTAGCAGCTGCAGGAACCAGAGGTATCGAGCATTTTCTGCATGCCATGCCTGGTTCTCAGCATCCTAAGTAAACTTTTATATGGAAGGCTCACATACTAACCCTGGGAGGTACATTGGGTCATTTCTAGGCGGGTAGCTGGAAGCCTGTTTTCACACAAGCCTGAACACCGCATCTCCTGCAGTCCATTCCGATGAGAGCTTCGTCGACGTGTCTGTTTTTCATTGCAAGCTTCCAGAAGGTGGTGGTGACAGTCTGAGGACCTTCTCTGAGGCCTGTTCTGTGAGAGATGACCTGGTGTCACAGAGAGATCTGGACCAGGAGTCACCAAGCCTGAATTCTAGGGAGGCCCGAGACACAGGCTATACGCTTGGGACAACAGCTTCTGACATCCCAGGGCCCTGTCCCTGACCAGCGGGGTGGTCTTAGCTTCAGTGTCCCTGTCCTTAACCTGGGAACAGTAACAATACTCACCCAACTGTGCTGTTGGGTAATGATAATGTACATGTTGTTGGGGGTCTGGGGAGGCCCATAAATACAACCTCTTCCCCTCCTAAGCTCAGAACCCGGTTGACACAGTTGCAGGAGTTGGACCTCTCTGTGGGTGGCCGATTAGCAAGGAGCATGCCCAGAAGGGACTAAGCTGGGCACAGTCACTTTCTTCTCCAAACTCCACCAATCCGTGGAGTCCATTCTCCTTGGGAAGAAGTTAGGTCACTGGAGTGGATAGGTTTTCCTTTTTTGGTTAAGCTTGTCCCATTTGGGTTCTGTCACTTGCATCCAGAAATCCCACCTGCTGTCCCCTTGGAAAGTTCTGGAAGGTAAGTGCCACGAGAATGGGGACTTTGCATTGTTCTCTGCTGTCACTTCAGTGTCTACAACAATGCGGACCTTATGAGAGGTGCTCAAATAAACATGTGCTTCATGGATGGTTTCCATCGCTCCGGTGGCCCCATCAGGGCAAGATGGCAGGTCCTGAATGATGCCACCTGCCTTTGTTTCATCTCCTACCACCCCTCCCCTCCCCACTTTCTTCTTTCCTTCTGCAGCCTGGCCCTGAGCTAGCATTCTGGCATGCAAAAATTAGGCCCAGCCCAAGGGCCTTGCCTTCCCAGAGCTCGGATTCTGGGTGGGCCAGTGGGATGGAATTCATATGCCCACACGAGAAGTCAGATTATAAACGTACCCTTGAGGCACAGACCCAACAGGTTGGGGCTTGGAGACGGAGAGAATTTAAGGTGAGCTTCTAGACAAGTCTCTTCTGCTCTGTGGGCCCAAATCCCTGCCTCGTGGACTTGGGTTTACAGTGAAAAGGAACAGGGCGAGGCTCGCGGTCAGCTGGGAATACAGTTCAAAAGAGTTGAGGTCTCAGGAGGGGTCTTCAAGGGGCAGAGATATCTACTGGTGGAGACCCTGAGGCTGATTGTCCAGAAGCCCTGACTGTCCCCTCCTGGGGCTATTCCAGATTCTGGGCCTGCCTGGAATAGCAAGGTCTCCAACTCAGAAGGCTCAAGGAAGCTGGAGATAAGGAGGAGAGGCCTGAGGCCATGGAAGTCCCTCCTGGCCCCTTGGTAGCTCCTTGTGGATCTGGCCCCAGCTCTGTCTTGGCCCATCCAGCCCTGGCTGCCCTCTCTGGTTTGTTAGCTGTGGGATTGTCAGAGGATGAAATGAAGATCCCCAGCCTGAGTGATTGCAGGAATTCATTACACACTTGACTATTTTTTTCTAACACCTACTAATGTCCTTCATGTTGGGCTCAAAGTTCTGGACCGCTCCCTTCTTACAAAATATTCAGGGATGGGGGGGAGATGGGGGAATGTTCCGGGATTCCTCTGGCAGGAGCCAGCCACCAGCAGGCAGGTGGGGAAGACCCAGGGGGGGTCTGTGCGGGGTGGGAGGTGGGGAGCGGCTGAGGGGGATTGGGAGATAGGAGTGGGCTGGGGAGGTCAGGGTTCACTTTTCCCTGAAAACAGCCCTGGGTTAGGAGGCCAAGCTCCTGGCTTTCTTACACAAGTTACTGCCTTTCTTGGAGACTCAGTTCCATCATCTGTAAAAATGGACCTCATTAGTGCTCCCCCGAGGATGGTGGCAAGGTCAGAATGCATCATGGTGTGCGTGCTGATATCTGGGATGGGCGGCAGGCCCCTAACAAGGGCTGGATCTGAGCGGCCGAATCTGTCTGAATCCCCCTGCAGAACTTGGAACAGAAGGCGGTTTTCCTGGCCAGGGTTTCTCTGCCCACTTGGCCAACGTTTCCTTCCCTGGTGTTTCTGGTGAAATTTTACAATTCACAACGCTTTCCACTGCCTGACTCGTCATGAAGCAGGACCTTGTTTGATCCCTGCTGGGGGGGACAGAGGCACAGGAGGGCGCTCCCCACTGGAGTCTGACCAGCTGGCTCCCCATGGGCTATAACTTTGTCCCAGTTTACTCATCCAAAAAATGCAGAGAAGTCAGGCTCCCTGATATGAAAGTAAGATATGTGTGGATCGGGGTGAGGGGAACAACCAGGAAGAACATTCAGAGGCTTTTC